TGCTCTCGAACGATCAAGGGGAAATAATGACTTGTGACTTTCGAATAATTTCAAGGATTTCTCTCTTTCTTTCTCTTTCTCTCTTTCAATTTTCCTGCCTCTCTCTCTCTCTCTCTCTCTCTCTCTCTTTCTCTCTCTTTCTCTCTCTCGTTCTTTTTGTGTTGTTTTTTCTTTTCAATTTTTTTTGTTCAGATTAAAGAATCGTCAAGCATCAATCAAGCAATGATTATTTTACTCCTGTTCTATTTTTTTCTAATGAAATTTTTATACAAGTAGAAATATGACTCGGTTAATTATCTTTTTTTTTTTTTTTAATGAAAATTTTTAGATAAATAGTAACGTAATTCGATTCAAGTTGATTTCTAATCGTGCAATAGTTATCTCTGTTAGTCTCTTTTCTTTCTTTTGTTTCTTTTTTTCACTGGAAAATTTTTTCTTCTTTCGTTGCAAAATTTTTTTGCAGAAGAATTTATTTCCTTTAACATGAAAATTATTTTCATGTTTATACGCATGAGAAAAAAAGGATTTGTTATTAAAAAAAACAAAAAAAAAAAAAAGAAAAAAAACGAATAATTAGAAGCAACACTTTGATTCGCAAAAAATCAACTTTAAACTTCAAAACTTTTTCTAAACAATGAAACTGAAAATCATTACATTTGTATTAGTATAGTAATAAGTTAAGAGAAATCGTGGCAAGATATTAGTTATTCATATACCGAATGTAAATCATTTCAATCTTTTTTGCAAATTTCAAAAAAAAAAAGAAAAAAAAGATGAAGAATAGAATTCGTAACACAGAAAAATCACTTCAAATGTTTCTAAGCGCTTTTCCATTGCTAAAGAAAAAAAAAAAAAAAAAAAAGAAAAAAGAAAAACAGAAAAAAGAGAGAGAAAAAAAAAATAAAAAGACAAAGAAAAAGAGAAAAAAAAGAGGAAAAGTAAGAAATCAAGAAACATAATTCATTGCTTATGGGGACTACAGTAATGTAAATAATAAATCAAAGGATATCATGGTGGTAAGATAATAGATAAACTTATTCCAGCTACTGTCTCGTGTAAAACGTTTGTCCGTCCTATCGGTTCAACGTTCGTCAGCAGCTCTCCTAGATCTATAACTTATTGTATTTTTACAAATAAGCGAAAGTGGAATAGAGGTAAAACCTGGCAAGGCTTTTGCTTACGGTAGCACGGCACCGCAAGAACCAAGAAGCAGCAGCCATCTTAGAGAAATACGATAACCATAAGCTGAGAGAGACCGACTTTCGGTACTTTATTACAACTTCGAAATGACACGTCGAATATATATCGCCTCTTACAAATTATCTTCTTCTTGGACACGATCGATCTTTTCTTCCACTGACATCGAGAAGCACGTCTTCTTTTCATAATAAAAAAAAAAAAAAAAAAAAAAAAAAAAGAAGAGAAAAATAAAGAGGGAGAGAGAGAGAGAGAGAGAGAGAGAGAGAGAAGGAAGATAAATAAGTGAGATAAAGATCATTTTAGAAAGTACAACAGTGTTATATGGATATTGATAAAATCTTTTTGTCATAATGAAAGTAGATATATATATATCATGCTCGTTAATTTTATTTCTTTTTTTTTTTTTCTTTTTTTTTTTTATTTTATTTTATTATGTCGTTTTATTAACACTATTATTTAGTGTTTAAAAATTGCCCTAAGAGTTAATATATATGTTTATATGTTTCTTTGTGTGTGTTTGTGTCTATGTACAGTTAATAATATTAAAAATTGATTAAGTTTTCGAGAGATCTATAATTTTTTTCTTTTTCAAAATTATTTTCAATTATTTCTAAATTGATGTCTAATTAGATATATTTATTATTACACATAGATTATACATATAGATATTTACGATATATCTATTTCTCTTATTTGTAAGAATAATTATTTTTTTATTATAAAATAATATTTCAAACGTATGTAAATGAATACTTACACATCTTACGCATTAATAATTTCTACATTTATACATTTTAAGTACAATGTATCTGATCAAATGAATTATTTTTATATTTATTTATAACACTTAATTAAATACCCGTTTGTACGAATTAACATTTATATAGTATCCGGTTAATTATGTACATAAATAATCACGTAAATTAACACGTACCTATTACTTCTTTTTTTTTCTTTTCTTTTTCTCTCTTTTCTTTCTTTCTTTCTTTTTTTTTTTTTTATTATTATAATTAATACGATCGCAAAATATTTGGATTTTTTGAACTCGTTCACAGTTGACCGTATGCTTTAAAATTGTCGGTATGTTTTATAAAAAAAAAATATATATATATATATATATATATATATATATATATATGTATGTGACTTTTATATTTCTTTCTCTCTTTCTTCCGGTATAGAACGTGCGATCGGTTAAACGATCGTTTTACGATCGTTCTTACAACATAATTCGACGTTACGGTAATCGATCGGCTTTCTGAGCGAGAAACGCGTGCCGCCGTTAGTCAGACGATCGGTT